AATAAATATATATATATATATATATATATATATATATATATACATGCCTGGTAAATTATGTAAATATTTTTCTAAGCAATTTTTTTTTTTTTTTTTAAAAAAGGAGTGTGTAATGCTTCTTTGTTTTCCAAGGACCAGATGGTAGAGCTTTTTTGTTTGGAATCAATCAATCAGCTGCTAAAAGAAACGAAATGTTTGTTTAACCAGACTTCATATCCACTCTAAAAATTCATCTAATTTGTTGGCAATTCTTGCAAGTGATCTCCTTACTAAGACTGGCTTTATTTCAAATGTCCATGAGGACGGGCTGCTTCACCGGGCTCTGAAGATGAGTGACTGATCACACATACACATTTAAAGGTTGATAACCATCTATGAAGATGCAGGAAGGAAAGCAGACAAAAATGTCTCCAATTTTGATATGACATGAATGCAAAACTAAAGACTGTTACCCATGTCTAAAGAGAATCTCCCTGTCAGTACTACATGGGAATTTCCTGTAAAGTTTTACGTGTTCATTATACAAGAAACAGACACTTTAATTAAATCGTGAAATATTGCAAGCCATTTTCCTATTCTTCCCAAACTAAGATCAACAGATTCTTTCATTATAAAGGAAACTTGTGACTGTTTTCACATCCTTCATGCACATTTCACAAGGAATGCATAACCAATTTTCTTCAGAAATATTTCTCTAACTCTCTATGCGCTACCTAAATGTGAACACAAAACACCAACTCTGTTCATCTATAATTGTTGTGATACCAAGTCACAAATTTTAACAGATGCATTCCAGGTCAAGCCAAGAACATAATACTGTTTATGATCTCCCAGAAGTTTGGTGTCTTCATTTTCTAAACCCTTTCAGAAAACCAAGGGAATTTTGGTTTTGTAGTATCCAGACCTTTATGTAGGGCCATATGACATTTTTCTCTAAGTTTGATCCTTTCAAGAAGGCAGGGCAATCTTTGTATGGAGATACTACTACAATTCAGAAAAAATACTGGAGATACTACTACAATTCAGAGTGTTATATGGAAGACAAAACCAAGTTACACTGTTTAATAAGACACTCATTTATCCCTACTGAGTATTTTTACAGAAAATTAAAGCATTTAACAACACCCTTCCTTCTGTTCCTCTGGAATGGGAGAAATAGAAAGTGGTAGGTAGTTACTCGTTAGCATAACAGCACAGACAAGGCTGCTTTTGAGTAAGTCAGCCTTTGTTAAGCTTCAACATCATGTTGAACACCAAACAATAGAAATTAAGAAGTTTTTTTTCAAATAAAGACAAAAGAATGGGATATTTTAAATAAATTCAATTTGTGAAAAGTGTTTTTATGAGAATGTGATAGGTTTTTGGTAGGTTTTATGCATATGTAGATGCATACTTAAAAATCTTAAAACTGGGAATAAACAAAAATGAAAGGACATTCTACTGCAAGGAGCAGTAATGTACAAATCACATAACAGGAGAACAGGAATAAATGAAGGGATAGGTGAAGTTGGTATGCTGACAAAAGAACTGGTATTTAAGATGCGATAGGAAAGAGCAAACAATCATGTTCTGGTGTATGAAGACACTTGATAAGAGAAAGAGACCTTTTTGTTGAGTTCAGATGGCAAAGGGTAGCTGCTAACATACACAACAGAACAAAAGGGACAAGCACCAGGCAGAAAAGGCAACTGTGAAAGGGAGGAGAGTAAAACATCATACCAAGATGTCAAAGTAGAAGGTGATGTAGAAAGGAAGACAACACAGGATCACCTTATAATTCATCACTGCTTTTAAACAGGTTTTTGAAATGCTGCACAAAAAGATCAGTAGTGAATAAGACAGAAGAAGAATAGGTAAAAATAGAAATCAAGAAACCCAAAGATAATCTAGAATAGATGAAAGGACAAACACTTAAGGAACATTGTTTTAGAAGTCACCTGAATACATTAAAACATAGAAGAAAATGAAAATGGAATACAACAAGGAAGAGACCATGGAAGAACCAAAACAGCTTAAATAAGAAAATTAATAAAGGTTACAATGAAGAAGCAAAAAAAAAAATCAACAGAGCCCAGAAAGGACAAGTCAGCAAAGTACAAGATTTGGATATAAAGTCTAAAGTCTACAGTGTTCACATGCAAATAAGGACAAATGGTTGCATATGTCAGAGAAGGAGGCAGAGAGAGGGAAAGAGAGAGAGAGAGAGAATCCTCTTTTAGTGCTGATTCCTTCTGGAAGGTAGGGGGAAAAAAAGAATGGAAGGACTGAAGACACAAGGGCAATGGACTTCTGCTTTTCAAGCCAGCAGAAGTAAAATGTGAAAAAAATGTGTATTTGCTTTCTTTGTAGTTGGTCCAAAGACAAAATATTTCTACTCTTAAGGGACTTCAGAATAGTTTTAACCCTCAAAATCTTCCAAGCTAAAGGTAAAACTCACATATGTCCTGATGTCCAGATAAGCCATTTCTAGCATAATACATCTAGGTGGTTTTGTTGTTGGATTTTTTTGTTTTGTTTTTGTTGTTATGGTTGTTGTTTTGGGGGTTGGTTGTTGTTTCTTTTTGGTTTTGTTTTTTCTTTAATGTTACTTATATTCTTTCTGAGAAGAGGGGGGAAAAACCACCCTATAAATAGTTTCCTCACTCTCAACTTGACATGCTCTCATATTGCATCAAAAAACGTCTACAAAGAAATAATAAGTGAAAACCTGGTCAGAATAGTGATCCAGGGTCTTACAGTCAAGTAAAACGTATGTTAAAAAAAGAATCAAAAACAGAAAGAGAAAAACACTGAAAAGATGCTATAGCCTTTTTCAAGTTAAATCACCTGAATAATACAGATCAAACTGAGACCACCAAATCCATTTCATGCTAAAATTCGAAAGGGCTTGGCTATGTTCTAACATGAAGCAAAAAGAAAACAATACAAAACTCATTTTAACTTTTGGTGTGAAAAATCAAGCTTCTTTAAGCTTCTTAGTCTGGGCAGAAAATCCAGTCACTTTAATCATCTGACAAAAGCAACAAAAAATGCATTTTGAAGTCCACCATTAACTAAGCTAACATTCACAATAGTGGGTTTGAGCATGGATTGAGGGGTAAAGTTTCTCTTGTTAGAAAAGCTTGACTAGGGAAGCAAAGTGAGGGGGAATAGCTTAGAGTGCAACAAAAGCTAACAAAACCCCCTTGTAGCCACACAGACCTTAACATAATTTTCATTGTTGCATTTCTTCATGGATTCTTTTCCATTCCCAGAACTGCTTACCTGAACCCCAAAGGAGAGGTTTCGATGGACAGGGCAAGACAACAGTCATTTCCAAGTATGTAGGATCCTCTATTTTAAACATTTGAGGAAAAACAAATGGTTCAGAAAACCAGTTTACAGAAAAGATTTTTCCAGCTCCAGACTGTTAGTCAAAAGTTGGAAAGAGTCAACTTCTCTTAGATTTCAATGGCTCTTTGCTGATTGAGGGAAGCAGATGTTCTCACTCCTGTTTTACTTTCTGACTGGCATAAAGATCAAGAGAGAGTTATCCCAGACAGGTGGCAGAGCTGCTGGCTATCTCTAAAGAGCAGAAGAGCTGAATGACAAAAAGGATTTAGCAACTCTGTCACCCTATATGATGTTCCCATGGAATTTCAGTAGCATCTTGGTGAACCATCCTTTCTGCATCACTATGTAAAAAGGCAGCTTTAATTTTAGGGCTGACAAATAGCCTCCTTTTATAAGTACAAAGCTCATAAATAGAAGACCTAGCATGACAGTCTGCACTATGTGACACAATGAATGTGTTACAGTATGTTTTGTTTCTGTCAGTGAATATGGCTGCTGCAGGGGATAAACTCCTTTAAACCGCTGCTAATACAGGAGTAAATCTCAGCTTTACAGGGGCATAGTAAATGTGTAGATTCAAAGGAACTGGTGGATTTAAATGACAATAAAAGTGACAAAAGCATGCAGTGCATCAGATACATAAAGTCCAGTTACATCTCTCCATCACTCTCAACTTCCCAGAAAA